GTTACGTAATCTGAAACATATTCCTAAATAAATACTCCAAAAGACGGCTAAAATAAAACCGTTTGAACCGTTTACAGCGGAAGTCTTTGAATCGCTCAAAAATTAACTTAAGTTCTAACCCACCTCATACCAGGTTAAGTTACAAAAGATCGACACAACGCTGATAGACAAAAGACTAAAAGTAAGATGATAATTAACAACTCTCTAAGCGTGTCATTTGCCCTTATCCAATCTCGAACTACCTGGCCCTGAGATGCATACTATAGTCAGCTTATAAAGCTCAGTGAATTCATGGTTTGCGTGAATAAAATCATATCTTGACATATATATATATATATATATATGCATGCTTTATAATAAAAGTCACAGCTAAATATATATATATATATATATATATATATTTAAAACACTGAAAATAAGAGATCTCATAATGTTTAGTCGGGTATGAGTCATTTAGTCACAAACACGCCCTGGGTTGATATTTCAATCACCCACTTGTCCGGGTAGTGTTTTATACTGGTCGTGACTTATTGGTCAAATGCCCACCCATGAATCATAAAACTTTAATATGGAATAGCATGCTAGAGTTATTCGAAAACTGATTAAACACATAGCATGCAACCATTCACAAAATAGCATACATGTAAAATATATCATAACATGTGTGTAATTGAGATATCATGCACACGTACACATCATCAACAATCCATATCATGCAAAAATAATTTGTACTTAGGTATGCATCCTAGTGAAATCTCATAAAGACTCACCTGATAACGAAGGTTGCTTAACTAATGTCGCTGAATGATAACCTACAATTTATAATAGCAAATATCATATAAATGATTAATTTCTCCCAAAGGCTAACATAAAAGTCAACTTATGGTCAACTACGTCAACTAAGGTCAACCTTGGTCAACTATGCTTAAGAACGCTCCACACATTAATTAAAATTATAGGAACCGCGAGTTCCGACATAAGGTGTATCGCCTAGCAATATATCTTAAAACGACATCGTAAACGTGATTATTAAGTTATCTATTATATGATAGACATGTTAATAATTACATATTTCGAGTTAAAAACGTCCTAATAAATTTACAACTCGAGTAACACTTCGTATAGTCAATTATTCATTTTATAACTCCATAAAATCATTTTTTATAAAATAAATGTCTTGTGACGAAAACGTCTCGTTTAAGATTTGTATGTAAGTAAAGGTGACAACATGTCACACACATATAAATAACGGTCGTTCCATAACTTCAAAGTTCAACATAATTAATACTCGAAATAATGTGAGAATACCAATTTTCCAAGTCTAGTGGCATTTCGGTAATTTATTAAGCAATACTCAAAGTATTGTTAAAATATCGATTCCCTAATTGTGAGGTCATTTTGGTAATTTCATGTGGATAATAATCAAAATAAGACATAGATACCAATTCCCAATACATAGGGTCATTTCGGTAGTTTACAAGGCAAATACGTAAAGTATCGCTAAAATACCGATTTCCATATTGTAGGGTTATTTTGGTAATCTTCATAAGGATTTTATTCAAAATAGAACTTAGATACCAATCCCAAGACATTGGGTCATTTCGGTAATTTATAAAACAAATACGTAAAGTATTGCTAAAATACCGATTTCTAAATATAAGGTCGTTTTGGAAATTTTATAAAGATAATAATATAAAAATGAAACTCATAAACCAATCCCCAAGATATATTGTTATTTCGGTAAATTTTGGAAGCAAATACGCAAAGTATTGCTAAAATACCGATTTTCCATTTATAGGGTCATTTTGGTAACTAAACGAAATAAATAATCGAAATGAAGTCAAAGTTTGCATTTTACAAAATACAAACAAACTTAATAAAAGTCTCATAAAATTATTATGGAGAAAATTATTTCTAGAAATTGAAGGGACTAAATGCTAATTTATGAAACTTAAATATTTAGTGTATATTAATTATAGCAGTGCATAATAAACAACAAAACTTATATTTAATCTATTGGTTAACGCTCCATGCTTTCTAGTTAAAGTCGTGGGATTGAAACCTGCTTTCATCATGCGCCCTTACCATTTTGTTTAAAAGGTAAATGTGACCCAGTCAAAACAGCAACAAAGAACAGCAAGGAACTGCACGATTTCAAGCATAAAAAGCTTGAAAATAGCTCGTTTCTTGACATATTTTCTTCATTTTTTTGCACTAAAACCTTGGTAATATTTTTACCAACATTTTGACATAAAGAACATAATTTTTCGTCAAGAAATGAGTTCCATTTTCTCATTTAAAGTTTTAGTTTTAAACTAAACCGAACGAAACTTTAAACTTCAAAACCGAACCACAAAACACCAAATCTGAAACATAAGGCTAATAGGGTTCCATGGAGGACTAAAAAACGAAGCTAACCATATAAAGAACATGAATTTTGGTTGAGTATTTTACTTCTAATCGACGAAAAACGAGAATTTTTGACTTGAACTTCAACTCCGGTTTTCTCCTTCAAAACTCCACGAAAAACAGAGTGGTTTCGAACTAAATGAAGAAGACAACGAGACCTACTTGAATCTGGTTTTATTTGGCTTATTCGTTGACTAACCGAGCCAATAGGAGAGTTCTAAACATCGCATTGAAAAATCGTTTTCAACTTTTCAGACTTTGTCCTATTTATGAAACAGGTCCCTCAAAGTTGGACCACTTTTTACCAGACACTACCCCTGCACTATGAGAAATGACCTACAACCCCCTGGCTTGACTTTTTCTTTCACATTTGGTCCGATTTTTAAACTTCTTTTAATTTCTTTATTTATTTAATATATATATATATATATATATATATATATATATATATAAGTATGTGTGTGTATGTCTTATAATTCAAAAAGAAAAAAGAAAAGAATATTAAAGAAGATAAATTATTTATTTCTCGAGATTTTTGGGTTTTACAGATATCATCTCCATTTCATCATGGTTCTATTCACATGTTTTCTTCATAATATATAGAGTGTAACTGATAATACTAATTCCCTTTGTGAATTATTAATTATAGGCAACAGAAAACGATTGTCAAGGAGATTATGCAGAAGCCAATTCAAACGAATTGCAATGCATGTCATGTATTGATGAAGTTAACAAAGTAAGAATAACTCACAACTATATATTGTATTTACCTTTGTAATTATTTACTGTGTTTTTAGCCAATACTTTATTTTCTTTCGCGTCAGCGTGTTGGAGACATCAACATTCAACAAATTCTGGATCCCGATTGCGATCCAGCGACCAATTTGGTTAGAAGTGGAAATCCGATTATAAGCGGAAATCAAAAATCTCTACGGCCAACCAATCCAATTAAAATGCTTCCTGCACTATCTTTGCGCAGGGATACTTTTTGTCGAGTAATTATCTCCCTTCTTTTTTTCATACACTTGTTATCATCTATGAATCTGTAAATTTACATGTTGTATACTTTTGAACAGGGTGACTATTATAACTATGCAACACTCTGGGCCAATGATGAAAACGTTATGGAAGCACTTAACGTACGCAAGGTATATATAGCAACCAACAATCAAATGAGGAGAAACAGAATGTTGTGTATACTTTAAAAAAACATCAACCACAAGGGTGGTGTCTGATTGGTTTGAGCTTGACTCCAATGGTCAAAAGTATCAAGAGGTCTCAGGTTCAAATCCAAAAAGGAATAAAAATCCCCTTGTGGGCATGGAGGTTCAAATGTTGTGACTCCGGACTATCTGCAAAGCAGGTGGTCGCCTTGGGATTAGTCGGCTCGCATGGCGGGTTGGATATCCGGGTTAATAAAAAAAATATATTATTATCTAATTTATATATATATAATGTTGCTAAAATATATAGGGAACAGTGAAGGAATGGTTGCTATGTAATTTGGACATGAAATACAATTATGGTGAACCTTCAATGCCATTGTATGAGTTCAATGTCAAAAGCAGTGTTGTCTACCACGAAAAGCTAAGTAAGAGAAACTGTCGAGCTTTGATTTTCAGGTATTGATTTTTTTTATYGTGCTTAATTCTTGGTTCCCTCAAAATGAATTGCTTGTTTAAATCAATTTCTAATTTTGTTTTCTTTGAAATAGTGGAGATCAYGACATGATGGTGCCACATGTGGGCACACGTAATTGGATAAATTCTCTTAATTTGASGATCACAGAGAGTAATTGGGATGCATGGTATAGTAATGGTCAAACCGCAGGATACAAAACCACATACGCTCGTGATAATTATTCTTTAGTATTTGCTACTGTAAAGGTACACCATGTTTTTTTTAAGTTTACATGCATAGGGAAGATATTTGTAATGTTAAAATTAACTAAAATTTTGTCATTTGCCATTAATTTTGTAGGGAGCGGGTCATACAGCTCCAGAGTTCAAACCAGAAGAATGTTTTCAAATGGTTAAGAGGTGGTTTGCTAATGAACCTATCTAAACCAACAATATAGTGTTCTCTAAATGAGATATTCAAGATTCATTGTAGGGTTTGTTTGAATTAGCTTATTTTATTGCACGATTCGTTGGTCATTCAATAGTGAAGGTGATCTTGTAGTATTTGATTTGTTTCAGTGTTTTAATTTGTTATAGATATATTAATAATATTTGATTGATTTCAATAAATTGAGAAATAAGAAATTGTTATATTGAATTTATGGTAAAGGATAAAGCTAGATCATGAAATAGTACCTCTCCAAAACCTAAATGTACATACATATGTATAGATATATAACTATACACACACACACACATACTAGCCAATCAAATGTATTGTTTTTGGTTTAATAACTCGCCTAAGTTAAGTAGTAGCGATAGTTTTATAATTTGTTTTTATTTTTAGTCGGTTATATATAACCCACTTTGGATAATTATAGATGTTGTAGGGTTAGATGTCACAGAACACCCAATAAATCATCATGAATATTTTCTAGGATTTCATAACCCAAATATGTTCAAAACATATTGATTCATAAAATTCATCAAGTGTGAAACAACTCATGGATGTATGTTCAGACTCAAAATAGAGACATTTTGACATGTTTATAGTTTTGCAAATCAACTAGAACTCATCTTACTAGATTTAAGTTAAATCTAGGTTTTACCCCAAAACTTAAGCTTCCTTTGGTAAATAGATGAAACCTTTGAACCAAGCTTCTACTTTCTCTAACAGATTCACGTAGGATTCACACAATAAAATACACAATGAAGTTTTTCTTTCTTTCTTTCTCTCCCAAAACAATGAGATACCACCACAATCAATTCATAGGCGGTGCAAATTTTAATTTTAAAACCATAATTTTCACACTCTCCTATGAGATAAAATAAATATCTCATGCATAAAAATCATAGGCGGTGAAGACTATTTAAACATTTAAACACATAAACAATTTAAATACCTTCTCTTATCAGTTGCTTTCAAAAATCACTCCGAACTTATATAACCGAAAACCCGGTTATCACATGAAGATACACATTTAAGGAACTTTTTAACGATCATTAGAGGAAGAGATCAAATCTAGCCGTTTTTTTCAAATCATGATAGCTATTTTGTATTTCTGAAACTACAAAGTGTTATTTTTTACGAACCCCAAAAACCAAATTTATAGTTTGCTTTATTACATAAGAATAAAAAGTATTAATGCTTAGCACTTTGATGCGGGTGAAGTATGGAATAATTATTTTGGAGTATGATCAATATTCGTTGGTGTAATGGTTTAATAATGGAAAACTACGACGTTAGGTTTGGAGAGGGAGATATGATCGATTATATAACAGGGAGCAGATGCAAACTTTTTCTTTTAATGGCTAAACAAATGACTATGAGCTCGCTAAATATTCGAATTGATAAATTTTACGATGGAATTTACAAGTAAATTTAAATGTGAAACATTTAATAATTAATACAGTATAAACATAAATTTGAACAATGTAATTCATTATTGACTAGTTGTATATCTGTATAATGAAACAAGATGCAAAGATTCATTTGTAAACCGAGAATTCAAAATTTATACAAATTTTATCAGGAAAAATCAAGAACTTTATGCTTGAATAATTTATAAGTAGTTCTTGAACATATTTTGCTATTCAAATCCGACATTCAATTTTAATGATGAATTATTTTTGTGTGGGTAAATATATTGATGGATTTTTTTTGCATAACTATTCTGTCGGATCAAGAACGTCCAAAGGTTATATGTATTTGATCGTGGTTGTCAGACGATTATTTGTTATTTTTATGGATTTTAATTTTTTTTGAAAAACTATAGGTATGTAACAATTATATCTGAACGTGAAATTTAAGATAGTATGCATTCATTAGTAGACATGCGACTTTCATTGACAAAAATCGCCGGTGGCCATTTTTTTTCTGTGATTTGTGAGAGATCACCAACGGCCGAAAGCACAAAATTTTACCTACGTTTGCTAACGACTAGACTTCATATTACATCCTGAATGATGTTAAAAGTTACCAAGGGATCAACAACGGCATTTTAAAATTGTAATTCCAGAAACTGAAAAATAAAAAATTGAAAACCTGGGTGATCCGTCGATGATTACCTAACGATCATCGTAGGGTTTTTTAATTTTTAATTTTTAATTTTCTATTATTTTAATTCACTCTTTCCTTATCTATTGGTTGTCCTTTGAATGAGACATTGTGGTCCTGTCATATGGTTATTGTTTTTGTCCCTAAAATTCAGAATGTATATGAGTGAACCTTATTTTGTGTTTTGATGCCTAAAATGGTCCCTCGAGCTAATATCATTATCCTCGCAACATTTAAGCCGTCACGTGCCCCTTACGTTAGGGTCAGATCCGTCTTTTTAACCCCTATGGATAACAAAGTTTGATGAAATCCATTAAAAGGTATTATCTTCTCCTAATGACTGAAACGATTATTGATGCAAACTAATTAACTAATCGTACTCGGATCTACACTTGCGGGTTTAATGGAAACTTGTATTCGATTTGCATAAAGAAAATTAAAAGCAATTCAGATCTCTTCTGCATATACAAAACACCAACAATTTCAAAAAAAGTAGTACACTCCTTATTCCATGATCAAATCAAAAAGTAGCCATAGGAACATGGCAAGGAATGTAAATTTCTCTTTCTCTTTATATATGGAAAGGTCCATGAAACCAAATGGATTTTTTGATTTTGAGTGAATTATGGACAACTTTTTTAATAAAAAAAATCTGGGTTTTGTTATAAACCAGTTAATGCTATAGAATAATGGAAAAAGTTTGAAAAACTTGATATTTTTTGTATTTTTTATATTAAATCACTAGACATTTATTTGAACGAATAAATTCTTAGAATTTCTACCCTTTGCAATATATAAACCAATGTGCTACCAAGATACTAATCCTTTTAATAAAGTTTTGAATTTATATTAAACATAAAATATCATTTGAGTTCCACATAAACAAGCCCAATTCCAATACTAAAGGATATAACATACATAAATGCTAATGAGTAATTAAACATAAAATGCAGCTTGTTTTCAACCTATGTCAAAAGATCTCCATTAAAACATAAAAATTTCGCCAATCTCATAGCCAATGAATAAACTAAGGTGTGTACGAGATAACACCTGAAAAAGGTATTATAGACATGATAATGAAAACTTAGTTTGGACTTCGAACTAAACAAAAATATGGTATGCAAGTGATCTTGTGGACGGAAGAGAGATCTACAACTTGAGAATTGGAAATGATGTTGTCGAGAAGATGCTTGACGAGCTTCGATTTTGTAGAAAATATTTTTGAAGCACTGCTTCTTTCGACTCATGTTTGTTGTCTTCTTCGAATTCTTCATCACCAACCAACTGTTTGCCGTTATTTCTTCTTCTCTTGCCACCATTCATGACAAAGTAAAGCGTAGATATTCTTCTTTACGTGCTACTATGCTTTGATTTGCCCGGGTTTGTTTTAAATAAATCACATTAGGCAAAATCTATAAAAGGAATCTTCTGTTGTTTATATCCTCATTTCATAAATGCAAAATCTAACTCGATGAAAATCATCTATTCAGGAAAACTTTAGAAACATTTAATCAAAAAGATGAAAGAGAATAATCTGTAATTCTTCTTATTAACCAAATGGAACTATAAATAGGTACAATGCACAACATAATTAATTCCTATAATTACAGAGATCCTAACTACCAAAATACTGTTGGTCTCGTAAGGGTCTACAAGAAGAGAAACAGTTTGTAGAAGGGGGGGATGAATACAAACACAGTACTTTCAAATTTAAAATATATATTGATAGAGAAGATCAATATAGATTTTACAAGATTGTTTGCGAAAAGATAAGGTAATAAAAAAACCTATCTAAACAATCTTTGGTTACACACAAAGCTTTAGCAATTACAAGAAAAGATGTTGCTAAGAGAAAGATCCTTTACTTAAGCTAGAAGATGCTTGAAGTAAGAATTAGGCTAGAGAGAGAGATGCGCGCTCTCTGCATGTGGAAGAAACACTTCTATTTATACCCAGTGCATTAAATGTCCATTTAATGCAAGATGGTAGGTTTAGAGTGCGTGTCAAACCTTAAGAGGAAGGTTTGTCCTTTGCTACAGTGAATAGTACAAAAGCACTATTCATGAGCAGACATCCTTACCTAAAGTTAGTGGACAAAGAGTCGACTAGTCGGCTCCATACAGTACTAATTTTTGTAAGGGTATGGGTTTTGTTCTGTGTGCATAAGGACAAGACAACAACAATCGTGCTAAGCAAGCTTCCTTTGATCGCTGAATGCTGGAATGACCTGAAGGTCTCATCATCATTCGGTGAAGCTTGAGCAGTCTTCACACATATGTAGACAG